AGGAAGTAACGCTAGAGTAGACTCGCGAAAAGTGTATAAGACACTTTTAAGATCAACTAAATAGCTAAGCCCAAGGGAAGTCGTTCGGGGAGGCCCTCCCTAATTCCACAAGGGTGAGAAGAAACACACACGATAACGAAACGTTGAATCATGTAGAACTCGTAGGGTAAATGCAAAGCAAATGAGGAAGAATATGCAGTAAGCTAAGCGAAGAGGTAAGCATGGTTAGACTATACTACAACTACTAAACGTGTTATTTCTACTACTACACTACTTCTACATACAAAAAAAATAAAAACATCTACATTCAACAATTACTTCAAATAAAATGAACAAAATAAGCATGCAAAATAAAAACTAATTCAAATTAACTACAAAAAAAACATGCAAAATAAAAAATTAATCTGAATTTGCACTAAAAGAATTATTTTAATTAGGTAGAGCATGCAAAACAAAAGAACTATTTTAACTACAGGGTCTTCTGTCTTCTCCAGCGTCGATCTGAAACAGATACGGTGGTAACAGATTAATAAAGAGCAATTAATATTAATTATATTAAATACTCTCACCTTAGCAAACATAAGACTATTGTAAACTTCCCAAGTTTGGATTTGTGAAAAGCAAACTAAATCCAGAAGGAATATCGTAGCAGAAAACTTGTTCCAGTGAAATTCATATAAATCTCGTCTGGCTCTCACTCATCTGTCGAAAATTTAATGTTGCAAGTTGAAGACGAAAACAGCAAATCAAGACAAGACAATGGCTGTTTGAATACCATCAATCTGAACTTTAATTCTCTCTTTCTCGCCATTTGGACAATCTGCAGAGACGGACAAAAAGAAATATTAATTACATTATTAATTAAATAAGAGATTAAATTAAGTAAAATATGAAATATAACAAAAACATACACGAAAGAGCAAGTAAACTAACGAAATTATAAAATGGCGATGTGCTGTCAATTTTATTCAAGACAGATAAATCCATAGATAATGATAAATCTTAAAGGCAATAGAAATAACCATAGATGCTTGTACACAATAGATAATTGATTGAAGAAAATCGTAGATGTGGGCAATAGATAACTGTAAGAGAACAAAAACCATAGATGCCAGGCATGGCAAATTACTATGAAAATGAAGTACCACCAAAATAAACAAATAAAGCAATTACTTACCTCCAGGATAATTGTACTGTGCTCAAGTTTTATTCTTAAATACATCAATGTGAATTGAGCTTCATTTGTTCTCTAAAAATTGCACTTTTCAAGTCTAAGAGGACGGAACATTAACGGGGTTCCACTTCTCCACGTTTATTCTTCCTTATTCTTTGTCTTCTTGTTCATTTAATAAGTTTAAATGATAACCTGTTGAAACAATTTAATGTTAGTTTCACTTAACTATTACGTTTTAGAACATTAAGAACTATAAAGGTCCAACTATTACAATTCAGAAGAGTAAACATTTTTAGCAGCAATTATTGTGAAACATGAAATACAAGATTTAGAAAATCACAAACCATTTCCCAAACAAATCACAAACCATTTCACAAACAACTTCATAAAATAATTAAACATTTCTTACCCTCTCTGCAAATGACTCCATCCTAAGTCCAAGAGAAAGAAGTGTGAGTGGGGCTCTGTTTCTTCACATTTCGACTCCTTCTGATTTACCCTCTGTGTTCATTTATTATGTTTAACCTGCTGAAACAACTTAATATTAATTATATGTTCACTAGCTTTTGTTATTTTATTATAAATGATAATTACCATTGTTAACATCCTATGCGTATGGATTTTTCGACCATCTCATCAGAAGTATTTTTGGAAATAAAAGTAAATTTAACTGCCACAGATAACATCTGCAAGTAGTTTGTCCATATAGGTAATCCAAGAATGTTATCATCAAAGCCTGTATTATAGAAAAAAAAAACCGTCGTTAAAACCCCATCTCTACAATAAGAAAGCAAACGAAAAATTTTTGTGAATATTTTACATATTTTGGCTACAAAACAAAGGCAATTCATCAGGACGTGAACACACCAATAAGAAAAAATCTACAATCATTGCCTAAAACTGTTTTCAAAATTTAAAAATTCTAACAAAATCCCAATTATTCGATCTCAAATAAACTACTAATCTATAAAAATTCACAATAGATGAGTGGTCCGGTAAGATGGATACCCACGTTAACAGTACGAAATCAGGACGCTACCGATGTTGTTCACACCGAAAAAAATGTAAGCAGCGGTGATCGGAAATCCATCAAACGCTACATAGAAANAACGGTAAGCAAATATACATTACATTATTTTTTATTATCACCTTATTATGAGAGTAAGTATCAATGTAATCAATTTAGTTCAATAAATATGTCTTTCCGTTTTCGTACCTCTCTCTTATCTTAATTATAATAATCATCCCTCGTTTCTTTCTCAGCTCCTATTTTATTAGATACAATAATAATAATTATTTACCATCCAAAACGTAGAAGAAAATCGTAGATGTGGGCAATAGATAACTGTAAGAGAGCAAAAACTATAGATGCCACATATGGCAATTACTATGAAAATAAAGTACCAACAAAATGATGAAGAGTAAAGTAATTACTTACATCGAGGATAACTGTTACGGTGCTAGTTTTATTTCTAAGTACATCAATGTGAATTGGACTTCATTTGTTCTCTTAAAATTGGACTTTTAAAGAATAGAGCTCTGCATCTCCACACTTCAAATCCATCTAAATTGGTTTTCAAAATTCAAAAACTAGCAAAACCCTTATTATTAGGCCTCAAATAAACCATGAATGTATTAAAATTCACATAGTCAAGTTGCCAAGATGGACCCGTACGTTGGAAGACGTTACCTATGCCATTGAGTCATTCATACCTAAAAAAAAAAACAGCAACGATAATTGATTCACTTCAATCACTACATAGATTAATAGAAGCATATTTCACACAATCAAATGAAAAGCGAATAAAGATTAGGGCTATATACCTTAAAGCGTCGTTTCCATATAAAGGGAGCAAAATTGGAACTGATTAGAACATAACAATTCAGAGTGAAAGGACAAAGTGAGGCGGCACGCGAGTAAAACCACACGACAGACGAGATTTAACCGGAAGACCCACAGATGAAAATTATTTCTATACTGTGGGTGCATTAATGAGATTTAATAGGTGCGCTCAATTACACTAACTCAGTTTAATTCGTAAATATATACTGATCAACTGTAATAAAACTAGCACGCTGGCAGCCCATTTTAATTGTCTATAACTATAATTTCTAATAAATCAATATTTCTAATTAAATTTACTAAAAATAAGATTTATTAGAATGATTTATATGTATTATGTTTATCGTCTTAAGATTTTTAAGTTTTGTTCCTGTTTTTTTTAGATACAGAAAGATGCGCCTTTAACTGAGAATTACATTTTGTGTGTCGAAACGCGCTTTAGTTTTTGCACATTTTGTGTAATTTTGGAGTTCTAAGTATTTATGAGTTAATTATATTTTGTGTATCATTTCTTACCTATGAAATTTTTACATATTTAAAATAATAAAACATTTACTTTCACTAAAATCATTCAATAAATTGTTTATAGCAATCACTTTTAATTAACTATTTTAGCTAACAAAAAAAGTTATATTTCATTTTTATTTGCGAGAATTACACTTTTATAACAGGTCAAACTTTAGCATAATGAAGTGTAAAACTTACACAGACACGTACATACACAAGTTCGATAGAACCACAATAATAATTAGGTAGCTACTTAATAAAAATAGACTACTTAATTAAAAAACTAACATTTGCAAATCACAAAACGGCAAATAATAAAGAATGCTCTGCTGCAAACTTAATATTTCCTAATTATGTAAACAATTTTAATTTTTCTATGATTTCATTTAGTTTGTTTGTCACTAACCAGTAATACAAGACTCACTAGTATGAATATTAAACTTTTTTTTTACTGAAATTGCATTATGGCACTCGACAGTAAATGATTACAAATTGTAATAGAAAATTGATGAACTAAGGTTAATAGTATAGTCGCAACGAACAGTGAATTTCATAAGTTTAATAAAATATTTTTTTTTTGTTTTGTCCCATAAGTACTTATTCTAAGAATTCATAACATTTAAGATTACTCTAATAATTAAATGTAACTATTTTGATGGTCATCATCGTTTTGAACTATTGGAGCGATCTTTAATGTTATACTATTAGAATAAGCACTAAATAAGCTTATGAAAAATTATGAAATTCATTATTTCGGGGACCACTTTCATGCAATTATCGTTTCTACTCTTTTGATCCCATCACTGATGTTATCAAGTTTAAATCGAATGAATTATTTTTTTATCATTTTTTCTATTTAGTAATGTTAATTTAATAATTTGTAAACTATTTAGTACAATTTTACCTGATTAAAAATATACCCGATTAATTAATATAAGTGCACGAGCTCTTACAATTGCATTTAATCATATGCTTTATAAAAAAAAATAATAATAATACAGAATTGCAAAAAAAAACTTATTAGATTATTTTTGAATTAATTATGGTAGTTAAAAGAATGTGAGTGTCACAGCTCGTGCACATGACTGGAAATAAAGTATTAACTATTGTTGAACCTAATGTGCATAATCGAAGTTCAATATAAATAAGTGTTTCATTGTATAGATCAAATATACAAATTCCATCCTAAAAATTACCAAAACATTGTTTTCTTAATGAAACAATCCCAAATTGCACCGTTGCTTGTTTGACTAATCGTACAATTGATTTTTTTGTGCTTTCTATCAAATTAATAATCAATAAAAAGTAAAATAATCTAATCAAGTACCATAAATAAGCCGTTAATATTAATGTCTCATTTGGTTGTTGTAGACATATTCATAGCGGAAGGAACAAAATTAATAATAATAATTACTATTAAACAACGGTAAGCAAATATACATTACATTATTTTTTATTATCACCTTATTATGAGAGTAAGTATCAATGTAATCAATTTAGTTCAATAAATATGTCTTTCCGTTTTCGTACCTCTCTCTTATCTTAATTATAATAATCATCCCTCGTTTCTTTCTCAGCTCCTATTTTATTAGATACAATAATAATAATTATTTACCATCCAAAACGTACAAGTCTTTGGCATAATACAGTTATATCCCGTGTTTGTTACTGTTGTTAAGTACTTATAAATTGGACGAGTGCAAAGTACAAAGGAGAACGTTATTACCTATTCTCCTCCCTTACGCCTACACCTTTTGTTTATCGGTGGCATGATTTTTCCGTCGCACTATAATTACTTCATACTGAAAGTTACTCACGGTTCACGACATTTTTTTGTGTAATATTTGTAACTCGCATCATTATCATTCAAAAAATATACTTTTTATAAAAACACTAACGAATCGTTATGACTTTGGGGGCCTCATTCGCCACCCGATACAGTCACTTCTCGTAGTATAGGGTCAGCATGTAAAGACGACGATTTGTCGAGCACCGGGGAATCAATAATGGTTTCTCTTGCAGCCGAGCCATTGCTGTTGGCGAAGAGGCCGTTACCATTAGAGGTAGTGTTATTAGAAGATTCAACAGAAACCTCAGCATGCTCGCCATGTTCCTCTTCTTCCAGGATGGTTTCAGCTATCTCCTGATCGAAGCTCGATTGAGTTGTTGATTCCGTTTTGAAATCCTAAAAACAATGTACTACTGAAAAATTGACTCATTTTCAATTTAAAAAAGCGGAATTCTTATCAACTCCCACGCGAGATTATATCATTTGAAAAGAAAATAACTCACTTGAGCCCTCAGAGAAACACCGCCTTCAGTGGAAGAGCATTCTTCTCCACAAGGCCTAAGCACCAGGTACAACAGCAAATCGGACAAAGAAATTATGCCAATAACTTTATCGTTTTCGTCTACAACAACTAATCTGTGAACCTATAACAAACAAACATTTTTCAATTAAACATTTAATATGGCAATATAATATAAATGGGCTACCTCAGCTCTTACAATCCGTTCCATTATAGTAAATAACGTTTCATCCAACTTGCACTTGCGCACACCCTCAAACCATTCGTTTCTATGTTCGTTGGCTTTTTTAAGCGAAACATCTAGGTCGTTGTAAGTCTTCTCAGCAGCTAAGTTCTGTAATGATGAAGGTAACATTAGTAGTATTTGCTAGGGTGAAATATAAAAACTGATTTAAAATAACATTATGAAAGTACTTACGATAACGTCAAATTTAGCATAAATATCTACTAAGCGGCCTTCAGCATCAATAATAGGCAAGGCAGAAACTCGCCTTTCGACAAATTTCTTTAAAGCTACGATTATTGGAGTGTCTACCGAAGCAGTTTCTATATTGTCATAAGATCCAATCCTAAGTTCTCTAAGCGTTTTATTCATGTAACTGGGTTTTGGTAATTCACTTATCTGTAATAAATATAAAAGTTTTACGTCAAAAACTTGCATCAAANAAGAATTATTTTTATAAAGTCAACTGATTTTGAGGTTCCATACCTGAAGAACCTTAAATTTCGAAAAGAAGGTTCCAATTTTCAGAAGAATTAATTTAGTGTTCCTGTTTTTTTTAGATACAGAAAGATGCGCCTTTAACTGAGAATTACATTTTGTGTGTCGAAACGCGCTTTAGTTTTTGCACATTTTGTGTAATTTTGGAGTTCTAAGTATTTATGAGTTAATTATATTTTGTGTATCATTTCTTACCTATGAAATTTTTACATATTTAAAATAATAAAACATTTACTTTCACTAAAATCATTCAATAAATTGTTTATAGCAATCACTTTTAATTAACTATTTTAGCTAACAAAAAAAGTTATATTTCATTTTTATTTGCGAGAATTACACTTTTATAACAGGTCAAACTTTAGCATAATGAAGTGTAAAACTTACACAGACACGTACATACACAAGTTCGATAGAACCACAATAATAATTAGGTAGCTACTTAATAAAAATAGACTACTTAATTAAAAAACTAACATTTGCAAATCACAAAACGGCAAATAATAAAGAATGCTCTGCTGCAAACTTAATATTTCCTAATTATGTAAACAATTTTAATTTTTCTATGATTTCATTTAGTTTGTTTGTCACTAACCAGTAATACAAGACTCACTAGTATGAATATTAAACTTTTTTTTTACTGAAATTGCATTATGGCACTCGACAGTAAATGATTACAAATTGTAATAGAAAATTGATGAACTAAGGTTAATAGTATAGTCGCAACGAACAGTGAATTTCGTAGACTCGCGAAAAGTGTATAAGACACTTTTAA